ACATTTATATAATATTTTATTTATTCGAATATATATAAATAAAAATAAGACAATGAAGGTAATATACCAATGACTGAAGTTTATGAAACTCTGATCTAGTTCAGTACTTTCCTGATGCACTAATCTTTTCTCAATGTAATCATCAGCCTCTTATTAGACATTTCCATTGTCAACAAACTCACTGCCTCACGAGGCATGCTAATTGTTAGGATGTTTCCCATCTATTAAGCTGAAGGCTACCTCTCTCACAATAATTCCCCATCAGTATCTTCAAGAAAATAAATGAATGGAAGAACAAGCAGAGAGAGTGAAGAAGAGAACCGATGCTATAAAACACATCTACTTCCTCTTCTATGTGAAAAGTTCTTCAATCAAGTAAAACCAACTAAGTCTTAACTCTGCAGGCTATGCATGCCCAGGTCCTTCAACATTTTTCAAAAGTCAAGGATTTAGTGCTGCGATTCTCTGTGTGAGAAAGAGGCACAGCACAGTCCAGGTGTGGCCTGAGCAGTGTGAAATAGGCATTACTGTTTCTTCCTTTATTCGTACATGAACTTCCACTAACATAGCCTAGGACTGGATTCAGTTTTTGGCAGGTACAGCCTCTTGCTGACTCATGCTAAACTTACCCTCAACTAAAACCATCAGGCAAATTTCTCATGCATTTGGTATTAAGTCAAATGTTCCACATCCTGTGTTTGTACAGTTCACTTTTGAATTTAAAAGCAAGATTTTACATTTATTCCTATTAAGCTTTTTTATGTTTGATTCAGCCCATTGTTCCAGATGATTCTGTCATTGCAAGCATTACCAACGCCTGCAGCTTCTTGGCATTCACAATCTGATCAACAGGCACCACCACTGATGTCAATGCTCAGTAGGCCAGTGTTAAAAATAAATTTTTGAGAAAAACTTTCTTCTTGCAAGCTTATATCGAGAGAATACTCATTAGCAAACTTTGGGTACAGTTTCTCAAATGGGTAATAATCCTTCTGGGTTATGTCATCTGGAGTATATTTCTCTGTGTTATCCACAGGATATCATGAGACAATGCAGTTCTAATGTCCAAGAGAGCACCCTACTCCTTGTGACGTCCAGGGGTTAGAACAGGGGTTTTCAACCTCCACACTCCTGACCGTTTGAGTCGGCTAAGTCATTCTTGGGGGCAGGGGCTGTCCTGTGCACTGCACGATGTTTAGCAGCATCCCTGGCCTCTGCCCAGTACATGGTAGTAGCAACTCCCTCCCCTTCCCACCTCCCAAAGTTGTGAAAATCAAAAAATGTCTCCAGATATAGCCCAATGTTCCTTTGGGGGCAAAATTTCCCCTTCCCGGCTGAGAACCACTGTTCTAGACTCTGCATTCCTCCAGTCTAATCTTGTAACTCAGTCCACCTGTAACGGCCTTTGTGACCTCTTCATAGTTATAGCTGTGAATAAGCTATTCATATATAGCACCAAAACAGTTCATGTCAGGAATTAGATATGCAGATAAATTAAAACGAGATATAGAAATCATAAGAAAAATAATGACAGGAATGGAGAGGGATGATATAATCCTAAAATTCAGAGTTGAGGTTAGATTAGCCCTTGGGTAAAACAGTTACAAGGAAATTGAGCCTTCAAACGGGAATCATATGATTTAAAAGGTAATCTATAAGGACTTTTGTACCTGGCTGCTCATCAAGGTATTATTTGGAACAACTGAAATAGACTATATGTTTGACAACAGAAAATAAATGTTATGGTATATTAGTCTCACAGAAAACTAGGCAGTCATCAAAATGACGTATTTTCAAAACATCAATGACATAGGGAAATGCTCACAACATAATGCTGTTAAAAAAGTAAGATATTATATATACAGTATGGATATCAAGTTTTCAAAGGAACTATATATATAAGAACTATATATACATATATATAGGAACTATACACATAAAAAGATCATAAAAATATTAATAGTGGTCACAGAATTATGGTGGAACTATGCATGATTTTAATAGTCTTCTTTATACTTTTTTATTTCCAAAATTTTCTTAATGAACCTACTGTTTTTTTAAGTTCTATGTGCATGGAGGGGTGCTGGGGAAAGTGATCTATTTTCCCTCAGGTGAGTGAGCACTGGCAGAGATTCCTCTTCTGTTTGCAAAATATCGCACCAGTAAGGTAGGAAGCATCAGAGAGGGCACGTGAGAAAGATGACAATATTTTTAGACTGGGTTATTCAATCCTCTTGGGAAAAAAATCTGTGGATCATTTTTCATAGAATAAGAATAGTTTAGTCTAATGTTCCAGCCAAATTCTGTCCCTCCAAGGCCATGGTTCTCAGACTTTAGAACGCTGAAGAAGCATGTTGGGCTTACCTACGAAACACAGATCCCTGGGCTCCAACTCCCAAATTCTGATTCTGAGAATCTGGTGTGGGACTTAGGAATCTTCATTTTTAACAAGCTGCCCCAGTGATTCATTTTGATGCAGGTGGTTCATGGACCATGCTTTGAGTAACACAGCTATAAGAAGTCATGTGATAGGATTTGGATGAGTATTTTTTGGGGGGCTGCCTCTATTTTTGATAATTTCTTCCTGGTTATGCACTAAATAGAGTTGGTATAGACTCTCAGTGGTGTGTTGATAAACTGGCTCTTTGGAAAAACAGACCCTACTTATCACATTTGCCAATTTCTGTGGTGTAAATACTCCCACCATGATCAATTCCAAACTACCAATGGTTTAACAACCAGCTCACAAAATTCTTCACAGCTTAATAATTGTATCTTACAAGCTGGTACAAGCTGGCTTCAGCACTCTACTGTATGCATTTTATTTAAGTGCTTTAAAACCTTTGAAAAAGGGATATGTTAATGAAAAACTATTATATCTACGACGGCTAGGATGAAACGAGCAAGCAATAGGATGACTTGAACAACTTAAGGTAACAAATTCCAAATGTGTTAGAAAAAAAGACAACTTTTTGAACTTTTACATGCTATTTCTTATTTTATTCTGTTTTGTTCCATGGCCACGCCACAAAGAGTGATACACTCGCTGAGTTCTTTAAGAGTTGTGAATTGGTTTCCTATGGATGATGGAGAGCCAAGAAATGGGACTCCGGGGTTGGGAGCAATGCCAAATGTTCAGCCTTTACCTCCACCCTCTGTGGCCCTCAGCCCCTGAGCTGTTGAAATGCCCTTGGTCATTAATTCTGTAGCACCCAACCATAAAATCAACTCCTCCAACTTCTTCCCCTCGTGCACGATTGAGAAAATGTTGTCTCTAGGAAGCCCATATCAGACGTGTTTTATGTGTTCACGTGTGGGAAGTGACCTAAGTGGAGGCTAACAGTACAGTTCTTTCAAGATTTTGACCAGACATATTTTAAGAAAATTGGACCTGAAGCCTATACAGCCAGCTGAGGCAAATTTACAGCCCTGCTTTTAAGAACAAAACTCCCTCAGGCACCTGCTTCCTAAAGGCAAAACCAGAAAGGAAATGAACTCTAGCTTAAAGACAACCCGCCTTATTTTATGCGTTATCAATTTTCTAGCTGGCACACAGTTCCCTAGCTACTAAGAGTGAATCCCCCAATCCTAAGCAAGTATCAAGCTGCAAAAAAGTGAAGTCTTCATTCTAGCAAACAGCTCAGTTTCCTGAAGACGAGGCAAGGATGCGGAGCCTCAGTGAGAGAAGTCAGGGGAGCGGCAAGATCTACGGTGTGGACTCACCACAGAGAGGTCTTAGCCAATATATGCTTTAAAATCTCAGCCTGAATTCCATTTCACATTACAAGATTCCTGAATCTTGGGCTATGATGGAGGAGTTACTGTTCCTCTCCTGGGGCAGCTGTCAGGGGAGCAGCCAACAACAAGGGAGAGTACCTGATTTCCTCAGAGCGGCTCCACCGACCCCGGGACTGAGCTCACCAACCTCTCACAAAGGAGAAAGGACTAAACAGGTTTTTTCCTCACCACTGATAAAGACAGCCTTCTCAGTGGGAATAGACTACAAGACAGCGATGAAAAGTTAACGGTAGATACTCAGCCTGCTCTGTGCTAGAAATTCCCATGAATAAGTCTGATTTTCTTAGTACACGAACTAAAGTATTAAAATATGCACAAGAACTGACTCTTTAAAACCTGTAAGAACTATTGTGACTAATAAGCAAGGGAAACATTGGACCATCTGACTTCATACATGACGAAGTCAGAATCAAATACTTAAAATTATATGTGTCATAATGCGTCATAATCTCAGTCTTTCTCCAAGCTTCAAGTCGTTGTGAAGGCAAAGACTTTTCAGGATAAATATGAATATTCAATTACATGTTTCAAAATCAGACATTTACACATCTACTTGAGATAGTGCCAGAGTTAACATCAAAGACATGTGAAGGACCTCTTGTCCAAATGGAACATTAAGCTCCTCAAACAGGAGAACTCAGCCCTTGCAAACCATCATTATTTCAGTAAATGAAACCGGCCCTTTAACAGATGGGCAACGTCCTCTGTAACGTGCTGATAGCCTAATAAAAGACAGCGGCTTTTTAGAAATGAAGGACATGTGCTTCTCAAATTACAGCACCCAAATGGGTTTAGCAGAATAAAATTAAGAAGGCATACAACAGCTTGACAAAAATTAGGAACAGACTACGGAAATCTGATCGTTCTAAACATCAATATCAAAACGACCCTTTTATTTAAAAAAAAAAAAAAACTCATTGTTTAAACCATAGGGAAAATATGCATTGATATAGTCAAAACCAGGGGTAGCATATTTTGGAATTATAAGGACTGATATAATATAAACTTGAAGTTACATTTCTTCTCAAAATATAGCAAAAATTCCCCAGAAAGGCAGATTCCTTTTATATCAAGTACCTTTCCTTTTGTATCAGTCAACCTGTACACTTCTTGAAATAACATTTCTCAGTTGATGGACACAGTAACCAAATTAAACAGGGAGGCTGGCTCAGAAAAGATGGGGGCCCAGCACCCCCGCTCACCTTGCACGTTCCTCCCTCATTGTTTCCAGCTCCTCCTCTCTCAGGCCACCGTGCTTGTGCTGCAGAGGGTGTTTCTGTTCCACCTTCCCACCCTTATCCTCTTTCTTCTTTCCAAATCTAGTGAAACATGAAGAAGATGGTCGTTAATAATCATTGTTTTTTGTGGTAAATTTAAGATATTTATTAGATGAACTCATTAAACCATAATGCTTTATTCTAAGTAATACAAGATCTTATGCATAAAATGGAAGTAAAATAAGATATCAAAAGCAGAAAAATAATACTGTTACTGGATTCCTCTCCTTTCCTCCCTTCCTTCCCTCTTTCCGCTCAGATGTTGATTGTGCAGCAGGCACAAAATCATGTGACTAAAGACTAAAAATTTCAAACCATTAATTCAGTAGAGATTAAAGAACTGAAAGGTTATCATTAATATATAACCAAAAACTGACCTCCTAAACGGGGCTCCAGAGCTCCAGAAGGCCTGGACATTCCAGGTTAAACTCACGGGATTCTATAATGATGGTGCCGCAAGGATCTCACTCGACACCAGGTTCAATACTCTCATCTTCCGAATGAAGAACCCAAGGCTCTGGGAGGACTCGGACCTTGGCCAAGACCACCCAATAAGTTCAAGGCAGGGACTCCGGTCGCCCCCTACACTGCACTCTTCCTTCATGCCACATCCACTCTCTCCTGTAGCCCCACTTCCTAAGTCAGCCCAGGGTCAGCGCGCTCAGAGCACTTCTTGGAGTCACCGTATCTGTGGTTAACTGAGCACAGTGGCTATTATGATACATTACTCTTTTTCCTCCAGCTTTGTTTAGATATAATTGACACATAACATTGTGTAGGTTTAAGGTGTACAATGTGTTGATTTGATACATTTATAAGTTGCAAAATGATTGCCACCACAGTATTAGCTACCATCTCCATCCCATTACATAGTTACCATTTCTTTTTTGTGGTGAGAACATTTAAGATCTACTGTCTTAGCAACATTCAATTATATGATACAGTGTTATTAACGATAATCACCATGCTGTACATTAGATCTCCAAACTTGTTAATCTCACAACTAGAATTTTGCACCCTTTGACCAACATCTTCCCATTCCCCACCCTCCAAACCCTGGTAACCACCACTCTTCTCTGTTTCTCTGTTTGTCTTTTTTTACATTCCACATATAAGTGAGATCACACAGTATTTGTCTTTCTCTGTCTGACTTATTTCACTTAGCATAATGCCCTCAAGGTCCATCCAAGCTGTTGCAAACAGCAGGATTTCCTTCTTTCTCGTGGCTGAATAATATTCCATTGTGTACATGTGTGTGTGTGTGTGTGTGTGTGTATGTCTGTCTATACACACACATATACCAAATCTTCTTTATCCATTCATCTGTTGATGGACATTTAGGGTGGTTCCATATTTTGGCTATTGTGAGCAATGCTGCAATGAACATGGGAGTGCAGATATCTCTGCGAGATCCTGATTTCAATTTCTTTGGATATAAACCCAGAAGTGAGATTGCCAGATCATTATTAATTTTTTGAGGAACCTCCATACTGTTTCCATAGTGGCTGCACCAATCTGCATTCCCACCAACAGTGCACGAGGGTTCCTTGCAATGATGATACTTTAAAAGAACATTGTGTTTCCTTGGCACTTTTGGGAAAATAAAACTGCACATTTGAAATAAAAAAAAAAATGCTGCAATTAAATTATTACTAGGACACATTCTTAAAAGGACAGGCATTATTCCCAACAGATACTTTCTTCAGAAGCAATCTCCCATGGTCTTGGTATCAACACACATGAAAAAGAAAATGACTTGATGCTCTGCTAATAATCAGGAAAAAAGTCACTCAATTATGCCTATTCTTCAGTTAATCCTAAAAGTGGGTAAATATTTATTTCTTTCTGGATTGGTTTCAATCCAAAGCAGAGTCTGTTAGTCAAGTGGCAGCTCTGAAAATCACATGTAGAAGACGTCACTGCTAATATTCCTATTTCTGTTGTTATCACAGTACAGACTGCATCCTGCTTTCCTCAGAAGCCTCTCCCAGACTTGACTCTTCTGCATATTTTTCAATTTACAATTTCAATTAGCAAATTCTTTTGCATGACCTTTCTCTCTTCCCATTGCCATCCCTCCATCTGCCTCTGCTCCTACTGCAATTCTTTTGCTGTATCCAGGGCAGTTTTGGGATTTTGGTTGATCAACTACTAGCTTTTAACGCCATCAAGCCCAGCCTACTTTTTTTGGTCTCTTCCTCTCTTTCCTGCCTCCCTCTCTGCATCTACTCCTCTTTCTCACTGAAGAAACGACCAGATATCATTTATAGAAGTAAATATGGAGGAGAGAAAAAATACAGACAAAATATAAGAACATTCAGTTTCAAATATGACTCTGATTGGCTGATACATTCAAGATCTCTCTTCAACCGACAAAGCAGGAGACATGCTACATCATGTGTTTCCCTGAACACGCTCATCAGCTTTTCAGACCCACGCAGGAGAGGCTCAGGGGTCAACACGATTACCCCAAATTCCCTAAGTTAATACCTTCGTACATCACTTAGGGAAAAAATTCCCCCCCAAATGTCATCAAATATAGTAATATTTCAGCAAAAAAAAAAAAAAAAAATTATGGTGGGGAGTGAGGGTAGAATAATGCCTCAGGAACCTGATAAGGGCAAAAATGTTGCCCAAAACTCCATAGATATTAGGTTTGTTTTTCTCCACGTCTCAAATAGTTTCTTCTAAATTTGGAGGTTCTGGATTTTCTGAGATGAAAGTAGTCTTCTTTTGAAGGGTGAAACTAACCTATGCCCAAGTCTGCCTTGATCTTTTATCACTGCAACCGACAGATTGTTTCTCCTTCCTGCAGCTAACCTGCTGGTACTGCAGTTCAGGGGTAGCTTACTCTCTGTGCTTCCATCATGGCAGAACACGTTTAACAAACAAAGGTTAGTTGTAAGGAAATTCTGCAAAGCATTTTCTTCTTAGCAAGAACCATCAATAATAGTCAAATTAACGAATTCCACAAATATTACAAATGTTTTGATTTAAAGTTCATGATGATTTATTAAAGTTTCCAATAAGAAAGGCAGAAATTGCTGTGAAATTTATTTCATTAGACAGAGAGAACAGTCACAAATTACCTTATTTGTAAAGTTTTGGTAGGTTCAAGAACAAAATTATAAAGCAATAATCTTCAAAAGGACTCCCACATTGCTGAGATGAGGAAATTGAGACCCAGAGAAGTTAACTGAATTTTATTTATTAAGACACTAAAACCTTGTTTTCCGTTTTACAATCAGACAACTTAATTACCAGTGGTGGTGGTGGCGCCGGGGGGAGCTGGGAGAAAAGCATCAGTTTGGTGAATTTTACAAGCCTTTCTTCTCCTTTCCATAGCAGCCTCTTTGGGGGTCATTTCACAGCCACTCTTACTTTCACTGACATACAAAAAGAGGAGCTGGAGAGATCCAGATACATGGATTCATCTCCCCATTAGCTATTTTTGTGAGAAAAGCCATGCAGACCCCAAATGGCTGAAATTACTGCTTTGCATCCTAGGGTTTCAAATTTCCCCTGCATTCCAGGCCTCCCATTATCTATACCTAGGAAATTTGATAGCTGGCCATTCTGGCCTGGGCGCCTTAAGGAAATTGCTTATAGGTCAACCTTGCTTTATATAAAAGATATTTTCCTGAAGAATTCTGTGCAAACATGTGGTTTTAATCAGTAAAATCTTAGTTTCCATGTACCTGGGAAGCCTGTTTAAAGAATATTATGATGGATCTTTTTGTAAAGCAGAAAAATCACCTTTCAACATACCCTTTATGTAAATTTAGATTTCCATGAATTATAAGTTTGCTTAAAACACCTGTCCCTGTTTCTATAGAGAGGTTACATGCAACAGCTTCATGGAAAATTAGCTTGCCTGCTTGCTTTCTACTTTCATTCCTGCATTTGTTTTAAAAATACTTATTAGGCATCTATTCTGTGTCAGGCATCGTCATAAGCACTTGGTGTAGTTGATATTGTATTGGGATACAAAACCAGACACTGCTCTCATGGAATTTACGTTCTCATAGAGAAGACAGTCACCAAACAAGTATAAATATAATTGTAAGTTGTGAAAAATGCTATGAAGGGTGTTAGGAGAGACAACAGTAGGAAATTGACTGGTTGGGGAAGTCACCAACGAAGAAATGACATTTAAACGGAGACTCTAAGGTTGAGAGGTGGCAGATAAGCCTCGTGGGTGGAGGAAACAACACACGCGGAGGACAGGGGACGGGAAAGGCGAGTGCATTTCAAGCAGTGAAAGAAGGCCCAGCAGCTTCAGCAAGGAGAAAGGGAGAATACTCGCACAGGATTCGGAGGGAAAGGAGCACGGACCACAGAGCGCAGGTCTGAGAGAAGCCTGCAGTTTAGTCTAAGAGAGGCAGTAGGTCATTTCTTACTAATTCAAGGAATGGAGAAGTTCGACAAGGAAACTGGTAGATTTAAAGAGTTGGTGGAAGACAAACAGAGGAGTAACCAAGTCATTTTAAGCAGAAGTGATACAACATGCTGTACATCTTAGTGTAAGACCATCCTGGTTGCTGAAGTAAAAAGCAGCAAGTAAAAGCAGTAAAGCTGATGGGGCCTTTGACAAGAGGGTGGGTGAAAGATGATGGTGGCTTGGATGTGTGGGAGATCAAGATTTGGCCACCCTGAAATCTATCTCTTTACCTTGATTGTTTTCTCTGAGGGACATTTGACCTCCCCCACTAACTGCCTAAAGAATTTGACATGGTGGCTCCTTCCTGGAACAGATCTTCTATCTGATGGCTGTAATATAATGTAAAATAGATGTTACAATAGAAAAGACACCAACAAGCCCATCTTCTCAGAAGTTCTGTCTCTCTGGCCACATTCTCTGGATGGCCCTGCAAGGAGTTGCCAGACAAACATTTACATTTATAAGGGAGATCTCCATTTGTAAAGGTATCTCCCTCTCTGTATTGGGAAGAGGGGGGATGGCCTCATTTCTAGAGACTTATCAATGTGGAAGGTGAGGCCTTAAATCTGCATAATAACCTTACTCTTGTTTACTGTGCTTT